ATAAATTAAATGTAAATATAATAGGTGTAACAGGACCTCGGAGTAGGGGTCGGGTATTGAATTACCAAAGACAAGGTGAGCGTATTTGTCGTACTGGGTGGCAAAGGCAAAACAGTACCTACAATGGCTTGACTCGAATGGACATGTGGTACTGGCTAATCAATCATGGTGTTTCCAGGGACTACATACATAAGAAGCCTACTAAGTTTTTATTTGATCTGTATAAGCAGAAAAGCTCTAGGACGAATAATGGGAAGTCAGTATTGGATCGTAGCAATAAAGAATCTTGCTCAATCAACCGATTTCCAGACTTGGGACAGTTTACAGACCCAGAACCCCTTGAATGAAGGGAAGGCTGGGTGCCCATGAGGAAGGACTTTGTCACAGTAACAAAGAGTTATGCTGTTCGCCTCTCACCCATCCTTCCCTAGAGGGATCTGCACCTTTTTACTAGAGTAACTGTACATTGGGGGAAAGGAAATAATGACTTTCTGTGGCCTTTTGGATACTGGTTCTGTGTTGACACTGATTCCGGGAGACCCTAAAAAGCATTGTGACCCTCTAGTTAAAGTAGGGGCTTATGGAGGTCAGGTGATAAATGGAGTTTTGGCTGAAGTCCAACTGACAGTGGGTCCAATGGGTCCCCAAACTTATCCTGTGGTTATTTCCCCAGTACCAGAATGTATAATTGGGATAGATATACTTAGGAATTGGCAGAATCCCCACATTGGTTCCCTGACCTGTGGAGTGAGGGCTATTATGGTTGGAAAGGCCAAATGGAAACCACTGGAATTGCCTCTGCCAGGGAAAATAGTGAACCAAAAACAGTATTGCATCCTTGGAGGGAATTGCAGAAATTAATGCAACCATTGAGGATTTGGAAGATGCAGGGGTGGTGATTCCCACATCTCCCTGTAACTCTCCTATTTGGCCTGTGCAGAAGACAGATAGGTCATGGAGAATGACAGTTGACTATCGAAAACTTAATCAAGTAGTGACTCCAGTTGCAGCTGCTGTACCAGGTGTGGTTTCCTTAACTCAGCAGATGAATACTGCTAGGTAAAATGTTGGTGGACAATGAGTGAATGGAGGAGAAGGCACCAGGACACGGATAAAACTCCATCAAAATAGGGTTTATTAGCAAAGGAACACATGGGACAGATTTCCTTCTGGGCAGGGAAAATGTCTGCCCGGGTCTTGAGCTGGAGTCTTTTAAAAAGGGAGGTTTCTGCTTCTTGCAGAAGGTGGGAAGATGTATTTTTTTTAAAGTTGGGTGTGGGGAGGGGAGTGGGAGAGCGGGACTTTTAAAACCTGTCCTTTTTAGAGATCAAAGGGGAAGCCTGCTGTGTTGGCCAAACCATGGAGAAAAGTCTGCTTCTCTTGACTTCAAAGACCAAGGTGCTTATCGGCTTGGTTCCCTTTTCTCAGGAGCATGAGAAGGCCTTGGGATCCTGTTGGTGAGGGGGCAGGGCTATCTGAACCTTAACAAATACATCTCCTGGTACCTGGTATGCAGCTATTGATTTGGAAAATGCTTTCTTCTCGATAGCAGTTCATAAGGACCACCAGAAACAATTTGCTTTCAGCTGGCAAGGCTAACAGTATACCTTTACTCTCCTGCCTCAAGGGTATATTAACTCTCCAGCACTGTGCCATAACTTGGTTCGAAGGGATCTTGATTGCCTGACTCTTCCACAAAATATCAAACTGGTTCACTATATTGATGATGTTATGCTGATTGGATTCAGTGAACAGGAGGTAGCAGACAGTCTGGACTTGTTGGTTAAGCATATGCACATGAGAGAATGGGAAATAAATCCAACCAAAATTTAAGAGCCTTCTGCCTCAGTGAAATTTCTAGGCATTCAGTGGTGTGGAGCATGCAGAGACATTCCTTCTAAGGTGAAGAGTAAGTTGTTGCATTTGGCCCCTCCCTCCACCAAGAAAGAAGCACAACCCTTGGTGGGCCTGTTTGGATTCTGGAGGCAGCACATTCCTTATCTGGATATGTTACTACAACCCATACATGGAGTGGCCTTTGAGTGGGGCCTGGAACTGGAAAGGGCCCTTCAACAGGTCGAGGCTGCTGTACAAGCTACTCTGCCCCTTGGGCCATTTGATCCAGCAGACCCGATGGTGCTTGAGGTATCAGTGGCAGATAAAGATGCTGTTTGTAGTCTCTGGCAGGCCTCCATAGGGGAATCACAGTGGAGGCCATTGGGATTTTGGACTGAGGCTTTGCCTTCATCTGTGGACA